GTGGCTCAGACTCCATGCTCCCGATGCAGGAGGCCCAAGTTTGATCCCTGATCAAGGGAACTAGATCTCACAAGCTGCAACTAAAGATCCCACATGCCATAACTAAGACCCAGTACAGCCAAATAAATAAGTAAATTTTTAAAAATGATCTAGACATTCAAAGAATTTCTATCATTTAATTTAGCAGAACTCTGAAGTTTCAAGTCATCAGAGGTCTGAAGAAATTGTTCTTAGGTAGACACACCATAAAACATATTATCTTAAGAAAGCTTACCCAAAAGGCTTTATCCCCTTATCTCTCTTCTATTACTTATGAAAATATCATCATACCATTAATTATCTCATTACAAATTTTGGAACAGAAATAATATGAGTTTATCAATTTTCAGTTAACCAAGGTACAATAAAAGTATTATACTTAATGGTGAGACTCTAAAGACATGTCTGTGTTAATTAAACTACCAATTTAAACTGGTTTTTAGTCACTAAAAGTTAATCCTGGATCACATTATCCTTTAAGAAGTGGGCTAAAGTTACATTTAGAAATATTTGATTTGTAAGCATTTACCTTTAAGTCAAATAGAGCTCTTTTACAAATTAATTTTGATAACACTATCCAGAGGTAGGGACATACCATATTTATAAATGCACACACAGACAAACACATCCAGACACAGATAGAGATGTCATAATTTTCCTACTTGAGTTTTTAAAAGCCTCTTTCCCTCTTCTTTTCTCCTTTTAGTTTTAAGTTCTACTAATTGAGCTAAGGCTGTCGTCTCAGGTGATGTGAGCTATGCTTATGTTTCAAGGACATAGTATGAGTTATATAACTTCCTTCAAGCATCCTCTGAGGAATATTTTTATTCTCTCAGGGTCAGAATTTTGAAAAGGTCTTTTATCAAGGTAGCTTTTTCTAGAATGTCAAAAAAGCTCCATCCTGGCCATTTAAGAGTGAAGATTAGTACCTGCAAGCACCAGCTTCGTTCCAATTACATGAATTCATGTCCTGAATTTTACTGGATCTACTTTTCATTCTCTTTCTGTAAGAAAAAACTTTTCTTGGCAGTGCCATGAAGCATGTGGGGTTTTAATTCCCTGACTATAGATCAAACCTGTGCCCCTTGCATTGGAGGGGCAGAGTTCTAGTGAGCAGCTGCCCAATTGGGAGCAGATCAACCTTCAAGGCCCAGTTTCCTTTCTTACTTTGGTAGCCTGATTCAGATATGAAATGCACCACTTTCTGAGGACAGTGTGATGGACCAAATGTGTGCTGCTTCTGAGTCTAGCTGCCCAAGGAGTTATCACAGGTCGCTTTGACTCTCTTACGTGTCTTGGTTCCTCCCTCTGACAGTCTAAAACTGCCCTGGGCGCTCGGGGCGAGAGATGATCAGCCTTTGTTATGCCTGCCCAGCGAGCAGGATTTTTTTAATGATTATACTGAGACTCTCTGTGGGCTCACTACACATCACGAGGATAGACCCTTAAACACTTCCGCTAGGTTCTCAGTGACCTGGAAGCACCTTGTGGCCGGAAGGAGCAGATGTCCTTTTCCCTTTGCGGTTGAGCAGGCTCAGTCTTCATTTCACTGGCAAACAGTTTGTTCGGACCATATACACCTAATCTTTCCAATTTAAGCCAAATCTTTAAGAAGGACAGCCAACCTGGTTCCTGCCAAAGTTTCCCCCAGGTCCCCACCTAAGAATTTCCCACAGGTCTCCTGCCTAGGAAATGTACAGTTACCACCTTTAGGGCTCCAAGAAAAACAGAAAAGTCCCAAGAAAAACAGGTCAGGGGACTTCCCTGGTGGTCAGGTGGTTAAGACTCTGGGCCTCCAATGCAGGGGCACAGGTTTGATCTATAGTCAGGGAATTAAAACCCTGCATGCTGCATGGCACAGTCAAGAAAATTTTTTTCTTAAAGAAAGAGAATGAAAAATAGGTCCAGTAAAATTCAGGACATCATTTAAAGCAATGATGTCCAGATATCGGAGAACTCACCAAAGCACCTGAGGAATACCAAAAACTGGGTGGGACTCAAAGAGCCTGTGCTGGTACCGAGCTTCGGTTTAGGGAGGTCTCCAGGTGCCTCTGATAGACTGCCAACTCTGCCAAGAAAACAGCTGATGGAAATTCAATTAACTACCAAGTTAGGAAGAAAAAGGGGGATTTTAATTGAGTTAAACAGAGGATTATAACCCTGGAAACAGATTCTCAGAAAGCTCTGAGAACTGTTCCACTTATTAGAAGTCAAAGGCACAGTCTTATACATTTTCAAGACAAAGGGATCATACATCAAAATAATATACTGATATTTTACATTAAGTTCACCAAAGATACATAATCCAAGTAAGCACATATAGCAAGCAGCAAGTCACCATGGCCCCTACAGAGCTGAGAAAGAACAGTGATCCTTTAAGAGGTTACATTGCTAGCATCAAAAGAAGGAGGGAAAAAATGTATCCTTTTGGTCCAGCAGGCACCCCCATCTTTGAGGCACTCTGGTTAATGTATACTGCAGACACACACGGCATGTTAGGGAGTGGGGGAGGGAGGAGGTCCAAAGAAACACAGAGAGGAAATTCTATGTTTAATTTTTTTCTTGTCCTGCCTTAAAATATAAATTTAATTTCATCAGAGGGGAAGATGAAAGGGGCCTGGCCACAAAAAAGACATGGAGGAACATAAATGCATATTACTGAGCCAGAGAGGCCAGTCTGAAAGGGCTGCATGCTGTATCACCCTGATGGTATGACATGATGGAAAAGGCAAAACTATGGAGACAGTAAAGAGATCAGTGGTCACCCAGGTTTGCAGGGAAGGATGAAGAGCTGGGGTGGAAAGGATGTTGAGGACCCTGAAACTGCTCTGTATGGTTCAAAAAGATGGATGCAAGTCTTTTACATATTTGTCAAAACCCACAGCATGTACAGCACCCAGAGTGAACCCTCATGTAAACTGCTGCTGCTGCTGCTAAGTCGCTTCAGTCATGTCCAACTCTGTGCGACCCCATAGACGGCAGCCCACCAGTCTCCCCCGTCCCTGGGATTCTCCAGGCAAGAACCCTGGAATGGGTTGCCATTTCCTTCTCCAATGCATGAAAGTGAAAAGTGAAAGTGAAGTTCGCTCAGTTGTGTCCGACTCTTAGCGACCCCATGGACTGCAGCCTACCAGGCTCCTCCATCCATGGGATTCTCCAGGCAAGAGTGCTGGAGTGGGGTGCCATTGCCCTCTCCATCATGTAAACTACTAGGTGACAATGATGTATCATTGTAGGGTCACAGACTGTACCAAAGGTACCACTCTGGTGAGAGATGTTGTTAGTGGGTCAGGTTGTGGGGGTGGGGGAGGGGAAACAGGAGGCATACGGGATTTCTCTGTACATTTCTCTCAATTTTGCTGTGAACTTAGAACTTTTCCAAAGTCAAGTCTAATTTAAAAAAGAAACTAGGCTGGACCAAAACTTAATAGCAGAACAAGAGCTCACTGCTTATCTTTCTGCTCTGGATTCACTGAGCATCCCTGAGAGCTCCCCCACCCCTTCAGGCTGGAGAGAAGATCATGTGAGTCCCTGAGACTCCCCACCAGAGATGGAAGGTCAAGACTGTAATGTCAGCTCCGGGGGTTGCGCTATGAGACCCTGACCACAGTCTCCCCTCGAATGGAAGGGAAAAGGACATCACCTTGAATTGCCCCCTGGGATGATGACATCCTGAGGTGCCCTCCTCATGGCCTTGGCCTTGGATGACCAAGTGGTCACAACTGTGGGGCATCACTGAAGAGGCCAAAGAAGCTTGGCAGTGCCAGCCACCCCATTCTCCCCCTCACCTGTGGGGGCACAGGTCTATAGCCGAACCAGTCAAATCACCCTACATGGCTCATAAGTTTAAACAATCTGACACCAGAGAGTATATCCGCATGCTGTTGTTCAGTTGTGTCCAACTCTTTGCCACCCCATGGGCTGCAGCATGCCAGGCTTCCCTGTCCTTCACCACCTCCCAGAGCTTGCACAAACTCATGTCCATTGAGTCGGTGATGCCATCCAACCATCTCATCCTCTGTCGTCCCCTTCTCCTCTTGCCCTCAGTCTTTCCCAGCTTCAGGGTCTTTTCCAATGAGTCAGCTCTTTGCATCAGATGGCTAAAGTATTGGAGCTTCAGCTTCAGCAGCAGTTCCTCCAATGACGGACAGGTTTGATCTTGATGTCCAAGTGACTCTCAAGAGTCTTCTCCAGAACCACGGTGCAAAAGCATCAACTCTTTGGCTCTGAGCCCTCTCTATGGTTCAACTGTCACATTCTTCATGACTACTGGGGAAAAATGCTGAGTGGTTTGCATTTCTCAAGTTCTTCCTAGAAAGTAGGCTTTGTGCTAAACACTTTATCCTTATCGTCCAACTGATTTTTCCTAACAATTCCATAAGTAGGTACTTGCATTGTTATTTTCCATTTCACTGTTGTGAGAATGGAGGCCCAGAGAGTTTAAGCAAGCTGCCCAAGGTCACACAGCTTATCCTAGTGTTACCGTGTATTAGCACTAGAACCGTCAACTCTTTGAACTTCCACACTACATTTCCAATTTTATCCGTATAAAAAAACATTGTGTTGTATCAAAAACACAGTTTTGCTGCCAACACCCATGGCACAGCCAACATGCTGTAGCATTTTGGGGGAGAGGCACTGCGAATCTCTGAGTGACCTAAAGCTGGAGAGATAGCGCTTCTGCCCTGCAGAGATAAGGCACAGAGGAGGGGAGGAGTCTGCACAAGTAAGAGCATCCATGGGACTAAAAGAGGTTTACAGACCAGGGAGGTTACAGACCAGGGAAGTTATAGACCAGGGAGGAGAGAGCAGAATTCATATCGGAGGGCTGCAAGCCAGGAAGTGAGTCTGTGGGAAAACCATGAGGTCAAGGGCCAGGGTAATCCAAGACCCAACCTGGGGGGCACTCACTTCCTCCCACAAAACTGCCAAGCTCATCTCCTCTGCTGCGTTCCAGAGCCATGGGACGAGAGACCCTGGCCCTCGGCTGGGCGGGCGCTGCCATCCTGGTGTTGCAGACGCTGGCGGCGGCAGAGGGCGCCCCGCGGCACCCCGGAGATAAGGACAGGGTATTTGCGGACCTGAGTGCCCAAGAAATCAAGGCCGTGCACAGCTTCCTCTGGTCCCAGAAGGAGCTGAGGCTGGAGCCATCCAACACGCTGACCGTGGCCAAGAACTCCGTGTTCCTCATTGAGATGCTGCTGCCCAAGAAGCAACACGTGCTCAAGTTTCTGGATAAAGGCCACCGGCCTCCCGTTAGGGAGGCGCGTGCCGTCATCTTCTTCGGAGCCCAGGAGCAGCCCAACATCACCGAGTTTGCCGTGGGGCCGCTGCCAAGGCCCCGGTATCTGCGACACCTGCCGTTCAGGCCCAGGCACCAGGCCTCCTGGGCCTCCAGGCCCATCTCCAAGGCAGAGTACTCCCTCTTGAGTCACATCCTTCAGGAGGCCACCAAGCCCCTGCACAAGTTTTTCATGCGCACAGCGGGCGCTGTGCTCGGAAACTGCTCCCAGCGGTGCCTGACTTTCACCGACGTGTCACCCCGAGGCGTGGCCTCCGGCCAGCGCCGCACTTGGTTCATCCTGCAGCGGGAAATCGAAGGCTACTTCCTGCACCCCACTGGGATGGAGCTTCTGCTGGACCATGGAAGCACGAACCCCCGGGACTGGACGGTGGAGCGGGTCTGGTACAATGGGAGGTTCTACCGGAGCCCCGAGGAGCTGGCTAAGAAGTTCGACGATGGAGAGGTGGACGCGGTGGTCTTGGAGGACCCTCTCGCCAAAGGCAAGGACGGAGCGAACCTGCCCGAGGCGGCCCTCTTCTCCTCCTACCAGTTACGCGGGGACTTGGGCGTCTCCAAGAGCGGCCCCCGCCTGGTGCAGCCCGAGGGCGCGCGCTACAGCCTAGACGGCCACACGGTGCGCTACGCCGGCTGGAGCTTCTCCTTCCGCCTGCGCTCGTCCTCCGGGCTGCAGGTCCTGGACGTGCGCTTTGGCGGTGAGCGCGTAGCCTACGAGGTGAGCGTGCAGGAGGCCGCGGCGCTGTACGGAGGACACACGCCCGCCGGCATGCAAACCAAGTACATGGACGTGGGCTGGGGCTTGGGCAGCGTCACTCATGAGCTGGCCCCTGGCATCGATTGCCCGGAGACGGCCACCTTCCTGGACGCCCTCCACTACTACGACGACGACGGCCCCGTCCTCTACCCCCGGGCCCTCTGTCTCTTCGAGATGCCCACGGGGGTGCCCATCCGGCGGCACTTCAACTCCAACTTCAACGGTGGCTTCAATTTCTATGCGGGGCTCAAGGGTCAGGCGCTGGTGCTGAGGACCACGTCGACTGTCTACAACTATGACTACATCTGGGACTTCATCTTCTACCCCAACGGGGTGATGGAGGCCAAGATGCACGCCACCGGCTACATCCATGCCACCTTCTACACCCCCGAGGGGCTGCGCCACGGGACCCGCCTGCACACGCACCTCATGGGCAACATGCACACCCACCTCATACATTACCGCGTCGACCTGGATGTGGCAGGTAGGACCCGGGCTTGGGACCACCCACCTGGCCAAATGTCTGCACCCCAGCAATAACACACTCCTGGGAGATGATGGTGCCAAGTCTCCCCTGGAGACATAATGTCAGGAAGGTGTGCCCAGCCTGCAGGTATGGGGCCTGTGGAAACCTGTGTGTCCCTGCAAAATGGTGACGTGAACAGTGCCAGGGGCTGCCCCTGCACTGACCCCTGTGGAGGATGGACCCTGTGCAAAGGTGTGCACGGGGCAGTGGAGGGGATATTGTCTAGGTGAAAGACACGTCCCGGCCTGGAGCTTTGAGTGGATGCAGCGTCATTGGGAATACTCCTTGTGTCTCTTGAATTAGTGGTGTCACCACAAAAGATTGGAGAATCTTTTCTCCAATGGAGTGGGAATGGCAACCCACTCCAGTACTCTTGCCTGGAGAATCCCATGGACAGAGAAGCCTGGTGGGCTACAGCCCACGGGGTCACAAAGAGTCAGACGTGGCAGTGACTGAGCATGCGTGCCTTAAAAGACGGCATGGGTGTTTTGCCAGGATTTGACCTGATATCAATCCCATGTTAGAACAGGCCCCCAGGACCAGCTGGGCAGCTTCTCCTGCTCCTCCCTGTCTGCTCCTGACCCAGAGGGCATTGACATGCCCTCTCCCCCTGAGGAAAGGCCAGCTGCCTGGCTCTGGGACCACAGCTGCAGCAAACAGGCTCGGATGCCACTCTCAAGAGGAACTCCCCAGGGTCACGGTGGAGTCATGGCCACTGCCGTGCCACCTCTGAGCTCTCTTCTAGTTCCTCAGCCCCTTCCCTCCACTGCCATCTGGCTCAGCGCCTGTCCCCAACAGCCCCTTCAGTCCACGGTCTGCTGTTGGGCGTGGTCCCGGACAGAGGGCCCAAGGTGGAATGAGGAGGCTTCAGTTCCAGGTGCTTGACCCCAACTCCTTCCCTGTACACCCGCAGGCACCAAGAATAGCTTTCAGACCCTGCAGATGAAGCTGGAAAACATCACCAACCCCTGGAGCCCAGGACACCGCGTGGTCCAGCCTGCTCTCCAGCAGATGCGGTATTCTCGGGAGCGCCAGGCAGCCTTCCGCTTTGGACATTCTCTGCCTAAATACCTGCTTTTTACTAGCCCCAAGCAGAACCCCTGGGGCCACCAGCGCAGCTACCGAGTGCAGATCCACTCCATGGCCGAGCAAGTGCTGCCCCCAGGCTGGCAAGAGGAGCGGGCCGTCACCTGGGCCAGGTGAGGGAGGCCCAGGAGGCTGGCGGGGACTGGAGGCTCCTCTCTGTGTCTCTGTGTCTTCCTGTGTCCGTGTGAGTCTGTGTTTCTGTCCGTGAGATTCTGAATCTATCCAGTGCTATATCTGGGGGTGTGCACGTGTGTGTGTGTGCATGCATGTTCCTGGGTGTGTGGCTCTGTGTTTGGGGGTGGAGGGTGCAGAGCCCTTTCGGAGCCCCGGGGCCTCCACTGACAGTGAGTCTGGCTAACTCCCAGGGGATGATCCCGTATTTAGGGGAAGGCAGTAACTTTCCCCCTTCATTGACCCTGACGATGTTCCCTGGGAGGGGCTGGGAGGTCCCCGGCACCCAGAGTCACGCGGCTTCTCTGCCTGGACAGGTACCCCCTGGCGGTGACCAAATACCGGGAGTCAGAGAGGTACAGCAGCAGCATCTACAACCAGAACGACCCCTGGGACCCACCTGTCGTCTTTGAGGAGTTTCTTCACAACAATGAGAACATTGAAGACGAGGTACCAGCTCTGCCTTTTTCCAGCCCCACCCTGAGACCAGATCCCTGTCCAGTCCCAGGATCCCCATCCGGTCCCAGGATCCCTGCCCAGTCCCAGGATCCCTGTTGGGTCCCAGGATCCCTGCTCAGTCCCAAGACCCCTGTCCAGTCCTAGGATCCCTGCCTGGTGCCAGGATCCCTGTCCAGTCCCAGGATCCCTGCCCGGTGCCAGGATCCCTGTCCAGTCCCAGGATCCCTGCCAGGTCCCAGGATCCCTGTCCAGTCCCAAGATACCTGTTGGGTCCCAGGATCCCTGCCAGGTCCCAGGATCCCTGTCCAATCCCAAGATACCTGTTGGGTCCCAGGATCCCTGTCGGGTCCCAGGATCCCTGCCAAGTCCCAGGAGGGCAAAGACCAGCTTACTGGGTGGAGAAGCCAGCTCCGGGTTCACCAGATTCGCCCCTTCCTTAAACCTGGGGCTTGGGTGCCGGCCACCCCTTCCCCTCTGAGCCTCCTCAGCACGGCCCGCCCCTCTGTCCCGCAGGACCTGGTGGCCTGGGTCACGGTGGGCTTCCTGCACATCCCCCACGCAGAGGACATCCCCAACACAGCCACGCCCGGGAACTCCGTGGGCTTCCTGCTCCGACCCTTCAACTTCTTCCCAGAGGACCCGTCCCTGGCATCCAGAGACCTCATAATCGTGCGACCTCTGGAAAATGGCTCCAGCTACACCCAGAAATGGATGCCTGAGGAAGAGGGGGACTGCTTGAAGCCACCCCCTTTCAGCTACAATGGAACCTACAGGCTTGTGTGAAGGCCCCTGCCCCCCACTGAGTCCCACCTGAAGCCCAAGCGCCCCCCTCCTCCAGGGACAGATGATAAACCCCTCTGGGGCGGCTTCCTGGAGGAGGCACAGTGGGTGAGGCCACGCCCCAGGCCAGGCATGTAGGAAACACACGGATGAGAAACCCAAGGCCTTGGCCTCCACCCCAGAGAAGACCTCCATGGCTATGGCAAATGGCAGTCACTGAAATACTAGGTTGGCCTGTGAGGTCAGTGTAAGGAATCTGAGGCTGATGGCTCCCTCCTGGAAGACTAGGGGTCACTGATGAGCACGCCAAGTAGTGCAAGCACAGGAAGACACTGGAAAAATCTAGCGAAACTACCACCTCCTCTTCCCTTTGACTTACTGATCCAACTTCTTGGAGTTATTGTGGAGATCTACTTACAAACCCAGGAAAAATAGATGTATATAGCGATTTACTGAAGGACTCTTTGTACTGGCAAAGTCTGGGGAAAAACCCCAAACCTCCATCAACAGGAGATGGAGATCTACAAGAGAGAGCCTATAGATGTCAATAAACCTTGGAATGCCCACACAATGCGATTGTAGGTGACTGTGAAAGGGATATGTGCAGGGATATTCGCTGTCCTGTTGGGAAGAGCCTCATGATGTACTCAGAATACAGGTATAGAACAATAGATGGCATGCTAATCTGTGTATAAGAAAAGAGAGAAATATATGTACTCATAAATACTCTTGAAAGATAACACATGATTCTAATAAAAGTGGTTACCCATTGTCTTCATCCATTTGAGCTGCTATAACAAAATATTGGGTTGGCCAAAAAGTTTCATTCGAGTTCTTCCATAACATCGTACAGTACCACAGTCTGGGTGGCTTATCAACAACAAAAGTTTATTGCTTCCAGTTCTGGAGGATGGAAGTCCAAGATCAGGGTGTCAGCAAGGTCAAGTGAGAGCCCTCTTCTGGGTCAAAGACTTCTGACTTCTCACTGCATACTCCCATGGCAGAGGGGTAACAGGTCTCCCTGGGGTCTCTTTTATAAGAACACTAATCCATTCATGAGGCTCCACCCTCATGACTTAAGCACCCTCCAAAGGCCCACCTCCCAACACCATCACACTGGGCATCAGGCGGGACACAGACGTCCAAACCACAACACTTAAAGAGGTGGGGAGAAATGGGGTGAAAGAGATGGGATGGAGCAGGATTGCTCAGGGAAACCTGTCTATATTGAGGGTGGGTGTCTTTGAGAGCTTCTTCCTTTTTGGATGAAGAAAGCTTGAGGGGATCCAGGGTGGAGAGGGTGGAGTGACGTGGGGGAGAGGGCAGAGTGATGGGGGGCAGGGTCTCCTCCCTCCCTCTGGGGGTTGAGGGAGCCTCGGAGTATCCTGGCCACAGTGCAGACCCAGACCAGTGGGTTCCCAGATGCCCTGGCCTCCCACCCCAGTGCTATGTTGTTTCTCTTTTTTAATCATAAGAATGTATGGTACTCAGTCACTCAGTCATGTCCCACTCTTCGCTATCTCACGGACTGTAAAGCACCCAGGCTCCTCTGTCCCTGGGATTCTCCAGGCAAGAATAGTGGAGTGGGTTATCATTTCCTTCTCCAGGGGATCTTCCCGACCCAGAGATCGAACCCACATCTGCATCTCCTGAACTGGCAGGTAGATTCTTTATCACTGAGCCACCTGGGAAGCCCCTACTTAATAAAAGCTAAATTTTAGAAGGAAAAGAGAAGGAGGAAGGAAGCAACTCTTATTGCTGATTACTGGGATACAGCAGCTGGCCAGGATGAACAGAGGCGCCAGATTCACCCCGCCCCCACATCCTAACCTCCTGGTGACCTGTAAATATGGTCACTTTACCCAGCAAAATGAAGGCGTTCGGCAGATGTGATTAAGGCAAGGATCCTGAGATAGCAAATTCTCTTAGGTTATCCGGGTGGGTTCAATATAATCACAAGGATTTCTCTACATAAACCTATATTGCTGTTGAATTGCAGGCTGGATTTTTTCCTTAACGAGAGAGGCAGGGGTCAGACAGGAGGCTGGCTCTAAAATCAGAGGAGGAACAGCAAGCTGGGGATGTCCGTGGAAAAGGCGAGGAGATGGATTACCCCTGAGAGCCGCCATTAGCAACACAGCTGTGTAGACTCTAGACTGTAAGAGAATAAACATGTTGCTTGAAGTCACTAAACTTGTGGTTTATTTATAGCAGCAATAGGAACTCATACAATGGGTGTGGAGTTCCATCTGGGGACTGTGGACTGAAGGAAGCAGAACAAGTGCATCCTCCTCTGCGCCCCACCCTAGCTTTGCGTCCCTGACCTCTGCTCAGAGTTCAGTCACTTGGGCCAGCCCAGTTCCAGGATCTGCCCACAGGGAACCAGGGCCGAGTCCTGGGTCTTTTGACTTGTCCTACCTCAGCTACAAAAGCTGTTTTCTCTGTTCATTATTCCACGTTAGTAAGAGTATGAGATGGTTGGATGGCATCACAGACTCCATGGGCATGAGTCTGGGTAAACTCCAGGAGTTGGTGATGGATAGGGAAGGTGCTGCAGTCCATGGGGTCGCAAAGAGTCGGACACGACTGAGTGACTGAGCTGAACAGAACTGAACTGACTCCACGGACTTGAACTTGAGCAAACTCCAGGAGATGGTGAAGGACAGGGAAGCCTAGCGGGCTGCAGCCCCTGGGATCGCAGAGTCAGACACGACGAAGCAACTGAACAACAATAGTAACATTTGGGTGGTGAAACTGTAGACGATTTGTTTTCTGTAATCCTCACACTGCCTCCACTTCATGAATTGTTAAAAAAAAAAAAAAAAGCCAAAGGAAACCAAAAAAAACAGCTTTTGCTGCTGTGTTCCATCTTATCAGACACGGAACCTTGGGATAATGGTGAGACAGAAAGGGCAAAACTATAGGGGTGTGTCAGAAGGTTTTTTTCTTTGTCTTGCAAGCTTTTATTCAAGGTCACCCGTCCACCGTGAGTTTTAGACCTTGTTGAACATCCACAGATGGCACACAGTCGTCAAAAGCAGTGGTCTGCTCCTCCAGCATACCTGTTCCAACTTTATCGTCCTCCACTACACACAGTGTGTGAAGTTTTTCAGTTCCACCCCCCACCGGAACTGGTTGAGAAGAGCCCCAGGCCAAGGCGTCAGCTCGAATGTTTCTGACGCACTCCTCGAGATTTGCTGTACCCGTCTCACCACCCCAAGGTTTCACAGCTAATAAGATGGAACACTTGGCAGCAAGTGCTGGTGTTTTTACTTTCTTTTGACTAGATGTTAGTAACACAGATTCCCACCTTTCCCCCAAAACAGAAGATCAGGACTGGTTTAAGGGGCTCAGGTGAGAGCAGGTTAGAAACCAGAGGACAGGGGGCTCCTTTACAGGCATTTTGTTGTGTGGGGGGGACTGCTTGAAGACCAAAACCCGTCCCTCCTCTGTGTCTTCACAGCAGGTCTGATCGTGTTGTGCATTCGGTGGAACTTCAGTGCTTGTTGAGTGACTAAGTGACTGATAGCCCAGGAAATGCACCTTCCAGATGATGCCTACTCCTCACATCCTCCTTTCCCCCACCCTGTCAAATTTTTGTCCCTTGGCCCTAATGATAATCTTGGCCATCCCCCTGGCTATGACAGCACCGCCTCCTCCACCTGATGAGACGGCAAGAAAACCTGAGTCTCACGCCCTGAAAAGAGCCCCAACCTCCCCAGAGCCGTCGTCACTTCCCATTCTTGCAGCTCCCAGATCCCTGGTGGTCCCTACAGGCAGCCAGTCTCCAACCTCCTCCCCTTCTCATCCCGTTTCAGCATGTCTCTGCTTGCCCCTCCTTGTTCTAAGCATGATGCAAACTCCAGATGTGACAGGCCAGGGGTGCAAACCCTCGAGACATCCATCCATGGCCGTGCTGGGCAGACAGGCCAGAGAGATGTGCAGCCTGCAGGGTGCTGTCACGTGCTGTGATGAGAGCTGGGCTTCTCTCTTCTGGTTTTATAAAGACTGGAAGTCTGCTCTGAACCTAGAGCTGCAAATGACCCCCTAAAGTGTCATCCTAGCATGACCTTTGTGAACACTGTTGTCAACAGTTCATTGTATGACCCCGATTCTCAAGTACACAGCATCCTTGGGCCAGGAAGGCCAGCCCCACCCTGACAGATGAATTCTCCTTGAACACCATGTGCATACTCAGGGCCACTGCCCTCATTTGCAGGTCTTCTCCAGGTGGGAGGCACTTCATTCACTCTGAAGGACCTGGGTTCAATCCCTGGTCAGGGAACTAAAAAATATTTTAAAGGACATTGAAAGCATATCAAGTAATCATAATATATGAATCTTATTAGGATCCTAGTTTGAGCAAAGAAAATAAAAATGTTTATGAGACAATTAGGAAATTTGGACACTGGATATTTAATGATATTAAGAAGTTATCATTGGCCACTTGATGCAAAGAACCAACTCACTGGACAAGAGCCTGATGCTAGGAAAGATTGGGGGCAGGAGGAGAAGGAGGATAAAGTGGTTGGATGGCATCATCGACTCAATGGATATGAATCTGAGCAAACTCTGGGAAATAGTGAAGGGCAGGGAAGCCTGACATGCTGCAGTCCATGGGGTCGCAAAGAGTCAGACATGGCTGAGCAACTGAACAACAGCAACAAAGAAATTATTATAAATTTTTAAGGAGTGATAACAGTAGTGTGGTTATGTTTCAGTAAGAATTCCCTATCTTGGTGTTACTGAAAGGTACTCGTGGGGAGTCCAGCTGCTTGCCACTCAAAAGCCAATAAGCAGGCCAGGTTGGTGGAAAGGAAAGTTTGCTTTATTTCAGATGTGGGCAACTGAAGGGGAGGGTGGTGGACATCTGTCCAAAGGCTGACTCCCCACCCACCCCCCACCCCCGCCAAAAAGCAAGGGGTGAGAGAGTTTACAGGCAGAGTCGGGGGCACGCAACATCCAGAAACAGCACAGTCATCTCTAACAGTCACCTTCAGAGT